CCGGGAGGGGCGGGGGGGGGACGGGGCTGTGGGGCTTCGCAGGGTGGGGCTGTGGGGCTGGGGGCCGTGTGGGGCGGCGTGGGGCTGACCGTGGTGGGGAAGGAGAGCTTCTGGTCCTTCTCCTGCAGGAACACGATGACGTCCGTCATCAGCAGCAGCAGCACGTCTGGGGGGGGAGGAGCTGTCAGCACGTTGCGGCCCCATAGAGCTCCACTGAGCCCCACAGAGCCCCATAGAGCTCCACTGAGCCCCATAGAGCTCCACTGTGCCCCACTGAGCTACACAGAGTCCACAGAGCCCCATAGAGCTCCACTGAGCCCCATAGAGCTCCATTGAGCCCCACAGAGACCACTGAGCCCCACTGAGCCTCACGGAGCCCCAGACGCCCCCAACGATCCTCGCGTGACTTTTCAACCTTTGACCCCGTGACCCCGCCCCACGTGACCCCGCCCCCCCACCTTTGAAGCGCCCCGCCGCGGTTTTCCACAGGACGCAGCCGCTGTGCAGCAACTTCCGGCGCAGGAGTTCGTCCCGCCCGAAGGTGGCGCAGCCGCTTCCGGCGTCGTTTCCGCTTCCGGGCCGGCCGTCGGCGCGCAGCTGCAGTTTGGCGCGGCCGTCCACGCGGCGGTACACGTCGTACAGGCGCATGCGCAGTTCGTACTCGCGCACCTCCGCGTTGATGGCGGAGATGAGGTCCTTCACCAGCGCCAGGGCGCGGCTCAGCTCCGCCGCCTCCGCCTCGTCCTCTGCCGACAGGAGTGTGGGGCGCCCCATAAGCACCGCCCCATAAGCACCGCCCTACAGGCACCATAACACACAGCCGCCCCATAGCGCAGCACTGCCCCACAGCGCACAACTGCCCCACAGTGCTGCACCGCCATATAGCACACAGCCACCCCACAGCGCACAGCCCCCCCATAGCGCTGCACCGCCCGATAGCGCACAGCTGCTCCATAGCGCTGCACCGCCCCATAGCACACAGCCGCCCCATAGCGCACGGCCGCCCCATAGCGCACAGCCGCCCCATAGCGCTGCACCGCCCCACAGCGCACGGCCGCCCCATAGCGCACGGCCGCCCCATAGCGCAGCAGCGCCCCCCAGGGCCGCACCTCGGGAGTTGCGCAGGATGCGCTCGATGAGCACCGGGTATTTGGTGATGCGCTGCGTGACCAGCAGGATGCACTCCGGGACGCCGTGCCGCCGCAGCAGCGGGGAGCGCGCCATGCGCTGCGGGACGGCAGCAG